ATATATATATATATATATATATATATATATGATATTATAGATATTTATAATATTATAATAACATAACAAATTATTTAATATAAATTACATGTTTATTTAATAAATAATTATGTGAAAGTGGGAGAGAGGAATGAAACGTGTACTGTGAACCTTATTACGTATGTGAGTATTATGTAAGTGAGTGATGAGCGAAGTAAAATGGCTTACGTAGGTGCAGTGGATTTACGCAGTTACGTGGCAGCAGATATATACCTGTGCAGTGAATTTATATATATGCAGTGAATTGAAGAAGCCCAGGTGCTTACGTGGTATGCCTTTATCAAATATTCCTTTGCAACACTTGTACACGTTATCTAAATCTGCAGAGTGGATAGCAACTTAATAAATGCTTGAAGATTTATCTTCAAGTAGATATTCTCTTACGCACTTCCTTACGTAATCAAAGTAAAAATCACCCCCTATAAATAGTAACATCCGTTTGAACAGACAACAAGAGAAGAGAACCCCTTATAAATAGTAACATCCGTTTGAACAAACAGCAAGAGAAGAGAACGTAAAAAAAAAAATAGAAGGAGAAAGTAATAGTACGTGCAAAGGGAAGAGAAAACCGCAGCGTAAGATAATAAAATTATAATAAAATTATGATAAGTGTGCATTTCAAGGTAAGGGGGAGGAGAACCTTGTTTCTTTAAAATTTTATTTACTATTATGTTATTTATTTATGTTATTTTCTTGATACATTTATCTAGTGAGGTGCCCCTAACCTCATTTATTTGCTTATTTTATGTTTTTTATTATTCATAATAATTATTAATATGTTCATATTGTTTATTTATTCTGTAATAATTATCATTATTATTGGTGCTCTTAATATATTTTAATTACGTATATGTTATTTAATTAAAGATTAAATAATGATAAATTCTCAAATTTATTTAGCGTTATTATTTTTAAATTGATTATAATATAATGTTGTTAAAATATATTTGACTCGTTTTAAAAATAAATATTGCTCTATGGCCATAGAAGATAAAGTTTGAATTATTTATAGCTGGAGGTTTGACCTTGGGGATTTAAATGAGTAATCATTCATGGTAAAATATTTTGTTGACATTTGGTTGGTACTACAATAATGCTCATTTATCCTGACTAGTCACTATTAAAATGATTCAAATTTTATTATTTAATTTTTATGTTATTACATATAATCTTGTTCTTTGTTTAATTAAAAATATTTATTTAATAAGTGTTCTCACTCCTTATTTCTTGTTTTGGAAAAATTTAAATTAAATAAATATAGATGGATGTGCCAGCGATCCCTGCTCCTTTTCCTTCAATTATTTCTGCTGTATTTTCCGGGACTACGTGGAGTGTGGATGCGGTGGCAAACGCAGTCACCTTCAATGGAGTAGCAGTGTCAAGCTTTACTTTCTCCCCGAATCAAGAAATCCCTACCGTAATCGATGGTCCTATAATAGTCACCTTCTTTTTACCACCTGCGAACCATGTGAACCCCATCGTGAATCTGTTCCA